GAGGTCATCACTATACATAAAAGTATGCATACTTAAAATAAGACAATAATTATATTGTCTGTGCCCCCATTTACGGGACTTCTTTGATCAAAATAAAGTATACATGTTAAAAGAGATAGATGGAGTTATAAAGTGAGAGCAAATGATTTACAGGGAGTGAGTGAAAGTATTGAAAAAAGGGCAGGGGAGATAATCCCATCTCGTCATTGATGAGAGGTCGAGGATTGGCACTTACTGTAAAGTATGATCATAGAAAAATTAAATAATAAAAAGCATTTTATAGCGCATGTTCCCGCTCATCAGAAAGCTATATGCACTTTACAATTCATGTTATTACCCCAGTAGACCCTGAGATTTTTAAAAACATTCTTGGCTTCCCCGGAAGCACACAACGCAAGCAGCCGATTAAGCGGTCAAACTCTAACAAATTGAACAGATCTTTTGCTGTCTATAGCCGGGTATCCATTCACACGTGGGTGAGATGAAGAAAATGAGCATAAAGTGTCTTCCCAAGGACGCAGCGTCGGGCCTTAACATCTTTCCACATTCCAACCATCACATGCCTCTGTTTCCTGTTCTGGAGAGACATAGCACCTACATCACTATAGCCTCCCACGGTGACCCACAGTTTTGCACACAGAGTCAAGCAGTTCAAAATAGGGGGGGGGGGGATATACTTTTCATTTACCCTATGAGTTGTATTACCTGGGAACCTGAGGCAGGTAGTGACGCCGGACATGGTGGCGGAGATGAGATGGTTCAGATCCCCGTACGTGGGTGTGGTCAGTTTGAGAGTCCGGAAACAGATGTCGTAGAGGGCCTCGTTGTCGATGCAGTATGTCTCGTCTGTGTTCTCCACCAGCTGGTGGACTGACAAGGTCGCGTTGTAAGGCTCCACCACTGTGTCTGACACCTGGCCGCACACGGGAGGGAAGGGGGGGGGGGTTTAGTTTCATCAGTAAGAGTTCTACGGCACTTGCAACACACATGAATCATGATTTTATAAGTGCCGAAGATAAGAGGTACTGCGAGAGAGTAACATACAAAGAAAAGAAGGAGAGAAAAGACGATAGATGTTTGATAGGAACGCATGAGCAAACAACACCAGAGGAGGGGAGGGCGAAATAACGAAAGCAATGAGTGAAGAGAAGAAATGCACATGCATAATACAAATAAGAATAAACTAGAAGAACAAGAAGAAGAAAGATGAGCACATAGACACAATACCATTCTTTAAGCACTGGAAAAGAGCTTGGCTGGAAGACTGAAACAGCAACGGGAAAGTAAAGACGTGATCCTACCAGTTGTACCCTCCAGCCACAGTGTCTGATATACCTTGGCTGTCCTAAGATCTTATGTTCTGTCATCGTTAAAAGAATGCAGCCTCCTATTTCCAGACTGTTGCTCAAGATATTTCACCGAACAACTCTAAGTCTCTTTTGAGAGCGTCAAGGAACGGAGGTCAAAAACTCGCTGCCATCTAGAACTCTCACCCATAACATTTGAGGGATACAAAGTCTGAGACAAAATGTAAAATTATTTTTACAACATATTTCACGAAATGCCGTCTTGATAGTTTTACGACACTTGCAACACAAATTGGTCATATTATTATAAGTGCCGAATATTTAATATGTTGCTAGAAAGTAACATTCAAAGAAAAGAAGGAGGAGAGGTAAAAACGATTGATGTTCAACGGGAAAGAAGAAGTAAACCATGCCAGAAGGGGAGGGGGGATAATCTTATTCATGGACTCTTATGATCACACTGTAATGTGCACACCGTCATCGATTGTAGTGTGACAGCATGCATGTCTGCGCGTGTGTTAGCGTATTCTAAAGAGCGTATGTATGCACGTCCATAGACCATGCACATGTGCTTTGTGTTGATGTAAAGCTGTTATAAACTGCTTACAGCAGCAGCTGTATTTTACGGGATTGGGGACAATGGAAATGATAAACTTTATTATTGTCATTATCATTAAAAAGGCGGGTCCCAAACACTCCTTCACCAGACTCACCGTAGGTCATTACACATGGGTAGTATGGTTGAGTAGTTAAGGTGCTCATCTTGCGACGTGGTACTACAGACCAGTAGTATGTATGGTTGAATAGTTAGCGTCTTCTCCAAGACCACTATAGATGTCCTCTATGGCTGAGTAGTTAGTATGTTCTCATAGGCCACTATAGATCAGTGTGTATGGTTATTGGTCATTAGAGATCAGAAGTGTGTAAGGTTGATAGTTAATGTGTCCTCATAGGCCATTACATGCTTACCATAGGTCTAACAGAACTATAACGTGGTTGAGTAGTTAGCGCGCTCACCTTAGGACTAGGCACCACGGAGAAAGTGTTCATGATCCTGTCCGGGTATTCCTCTCTGATCTTGGAGATGAGCAGTGTGCCCATACCCGCGCCCGTCCCTCCTCCTAGAGAGTGGGTCAACTGGTGATGGAGGAGGGAGGTGGGAGGGGAGCATTGTCGGGTGGGATAGTTGTGGGTGGGTGTGGGGCAGGTGTGGGCGGGGTAATGTCGATAGAAAAGGGGTTGGGGGGGGATGTGAAAAGCGAAAATGTAATTAGATGTATTAAAATGGCAGTAGTATTCGTAACTGGATGTGTGTGTGTGTTGAGCGTGGAGGCGGGGGGTATATGTCAGTGTCAGATCATTAATAAGTGCTAGTGTGTGAAAAAGAGAAATAGAAAGAGAGAGGAGGGAGGCGGAGGAAGAGAGCGTGTGTGAGTCTGCATGAGTGTATGCGTGTGAGTGTGTGAGTATTAGTGTGTGAGTGTGTGTGTGTGTGTGTGTGTGTGTGTGTGTGTGTGTGTGTGTTTGTGATGTGATGTGTGTAACATGTATGAGCGACTTGTGTATGAACTCATATACACGTGTGTTTTCTATCACAAAGCAACGCATCACAATGCTTAAGCCGTGGCTTAAAAAGAACGGACTGACCAATCAGCTGTGATCAGCAAAGAGCATTTATTAGGGAAATCGTTAATACAATTATAAGATCGTTAATCCCACAGGCAACATGTTGTAAGGTTATGCATGCTGTATAAATATCTACTTTTTGAAGGACTGCGTTTCACCGATTGTCATTATAATCCAAGTCCCCACCTTCAACCCCCCACCCCTCTTCGCTGGAATGATTCATAATATCGTATTCCCTTTCTGTTCGCACAGTTTAATTACGAGAGCGAAAAAGCGAGTTTTTGTCACCGTGGATTTGAGTGACTGTCAATGCGTATTGTAAGTTCAACTTTTTACACAGGCAGAAGGGTTCTCTCTATTTGTGCCAGACTATTGTGTGGTTGATGTAACAGGTTGGCGGTGGCGCTGTGCTGTCCCAGTCTCTGAAAGTGTGTTATCAAATAAAGTAGAGGTGTTGCGTGTGAAGAAGTATGAGGGGAAGCGGGCATAGTCATAAAATTATGGAAAACATGAGGGTATCAAAACTTAAAGTTTGTGGACGCATAAACACCATTTTTCTTTCTGCTTAATGGTCGCTTTATTGGAATTGGTGTTGATCAAAAGGGACATCAAACAAAAATAATCAACCAGCAATCGAAAAGAAACTAGGTTATGAGTCCACAAGCTTTTAGAATTGATATCCTTACTTTTTTCATGTTGTGGCTATGTCCATTTTCCCCGTGAACTCCTCATATTAGTGAGGAAGGCGAAAAAAAATTTCAAAAACGATGAAGTCTTCCTCTCATTCTACTTTGCAGGGGACATAATACAATTTCATAGATATATCGTGGATTGGTAGAGAAAGAGTTAAAGTGTTTGTATTATGCGGTGATGACGCAAAATGGTGCAGAAAAAACTTGGAAGACACAGGTAGGGCTTATCTAAGTGAAATCAACAAAAAGCAGCTTTGACAGTCGCGATGTTTTCTACAAAGGATAAGGTTCCTCCTTTGTTTCTCTGTGTGATATTGTGGTGGTGTCGGGATATGAAAGCTATGAAGACCTGTGTATGAGGAACATTCGCTGTCTGGTGTCAACGAAGAACGTGTTCTTGGATACAAGGTGACCTTAAGGTAAGATTTTCTTCGACAGTTTGTGGGGTTTTATTCGAATTATATACATGTTTTGCATACTCACACGGTACACGCATGCTGATTTCTTCTTCTTCTTCTTCTTCTTCTTCTTCTTCTTCTTCTTCTTCTTCTTCTTCTTCTTCTTCTTCTTCTTCTTCTTCTTCTTCTTCTTCTTCTA